TGTCCTCAGTAAAAGCTTGGCCTTTACTTGGCTATTACTAGAAGCCAATGCCATTGGATGTTACTGTGTCAATTTAATATTTCAATTGTCTATATTCAAGTGATAAGATTGACAGTTTTTGGCATATTTGTTTTATGCACATGAAGATTAATCCTTTGGTTAATGAATAAATTACTCAAATATAGCCTTTCTATATCAGGTTGAGTAGATTGTCGTTTTATTATAGTCAGAATTTCCAAATATAGCTCCCTTCACTGTGACCAGAATTTAATACTATAATTTTTAAAATACTATAAGAATATATTATCTTTTATAAAATTAGAACACTTAAAATAAATCTGAAGTGCCCTTTGACATCAGCTTGAACCTTGTCCTACCTTAATGTAGTTAACTATTAATATTTTAATGAGTTTTGTGTGAGTGGAGGAGGTTGAAACTTCAGATTGAAATGGCTCACTGAGTCCGAGGAAGGAAAAAGGAACACAGACATCTTTTATGTGTACCAGTGAGATTTTTGAGTTTCAAGTATAAAGAGAAAATATTAACATGCTTTCACTTTAAGAGAATGGTAACTTAAAGGAAATAATGATAATAATAATAACAGTAGCTAACATTCACTGAATATCTACCAAGTGCCATGCCTTGTTCTAAGTGCTAACACATATGATACTCTTAATCCATGCAACAAACAACCCAGGAAGGTTGTTACCCTCATTTTACAGAAGAGAAAATGGGGGCAGATTATTAACCATTCTTGTCCCCCATTTTCTCTTCTGGAAGGTAGTAAACAGCCAAATGCCTTTTGCAAAGTCTGTCATTTGTTTGTCAGTGCCAACAAACTACACCTTCGTGTATATAAGAATTCAGAAAATATGCTGTCTGAACTCTCTCTGAAGAAAGTCAGTAAGTAAAAAGATCTCAAGATAGAAGACTTGGAATTTGTAAAATGTGTTAACTAAAAACATTCTAAATGGAGTAATATTGGAAAATTGAAAGTTAATTTGTCTTGGTTGCATGGCTTAGTTATTTAATTTGATGTAGTGTTAGAAAAAAATAAGTTAATTATATGACTATAAGGATGGGAAGTAGAATTGAAAAGCGTGATAGGAAACTTCCAAATTAAGGAAGAAGAAAAGGAAATGTGGAGAAACACAGCCAAATCAATAAAAATGAGAGCGAAGTAAAGAGGAAGAAAAAAGAATTTAATAAGTAGCAGAAAATAAGATTAAAGGAATAAAATAAAATGTGTGTCTGTCATCACTAACTGTGAATGAGCTGAAATTCCCTCAAAAGTCAGATCTTGGAAGTCACACAGTTTAGTGGGGGGTGTGTGTGTGTTTACGCATTAGTGATAAAAAAAGGTTGAAAATGAATGATTGGGCAAAGATAAACTAGGAAAATGCAAACATAGCAAAAGTAGTAATATTAAGGTCAGACAAAGAAAAATTCAAGGTCATAAACAGGAACTAGGTAAAAGATAAAATATTATGTATTTACAAGTTGAAATCCTTGAAGATACTGTAAACCTTTATACAGCACAACGACCATAACCACATGACACCCACATGAGCAGAGCTAAATCTCTAGGAAATGGAACTTGATAAGAAGACAGTTATGGGAATTTAAAATACCACTTTCAAAATTTGACGTATCAAAAAGACAAAAAATAAGCAAGGATATAGAGAATTTGAATAATATAGTCAACAAGCACGATTTGTGGATTCATTAGGATCCCATTTTTGAGAACATATTTAAGGATGTTCTCCAGCTGAGAGTGAAATTTAAGAAAGAGGGAGATGTGAGATGTAAGAAGTGGTGGAACTAATCTGGGAGTCCAGTAAAAAGAAATAGCTGGATGAAAGCTGAAGTTTCCTAGAAAGCTATTCATCAAAATTGGAATTGGAAGTTAGTGGAATCCTGAAATTATGCTTTAAAAAAAGTGGAATGGATTTTAAGAAATTATGTAATATAATATGATTAATAAACTGAAAACTGTTAGGGACATGGAGGGAAAAGGCCCATGAAGGATAAAACAGCAATGGAAAAACTCTGCAAAAATGTAACACTACAAATGTGAAACAAAGTAAAATGTCATGTGAGTTGGAGTATTTGATGTATGTGAAAGAATTCATTTGAACTAGACCCTGGAAACATTTTCTTTTGGGGAGCGTACGCTTTGGCTTTGTTGTGAACTATAATATATTTACAGGATCTTAATGTAATTAAGTACTATTGTTTTTCAACTTTTTCAGTTTGCTTATGGAAGAAGTATTAAGTTCCCTTCTTTATGTTCATGAAATGTTTAAAACTTTATTATATATTTTTTACAGAGAACTCTTGCGGATGATTTTAAGAAACATTCTACAGATTTCATTGTGATCCAAAACACGAGTAGAAATCAAAAGTTGAATTAAAAATGGGTACTTGGGCCGGGCGCGGTGGCTCACGCCTGTAATCCTAGCACTCTGGGAGGCTGAGGCGGGTGGATCGCTCAAGGTCAGGAATTCGAGACCACCCTGAGCAAGAGCGAGACCCCGTCTCTACTAAAAACAGAAAGAAATTAATTGGACAACTAAAATATATAGAAAAAATTAGCCGGGCTTGGTGGCTCATGCCTGTAGTCCCAGGTACTTGGGAGGCTGAGGCAGAAGGATTGCTTGAGCCCAGGAGTTTGAGGTTGCTGTGAGCTAGGCTGATGCCACGGCACTCACTCTAGCCTGGGCAACAAAGCGAGACTCTGTCTCAAAAAAAAAAAAAAAATGGGTACTTGGAAATTATGTAATAGTCTTCTTTAAAAAAACAAAAGAGAAAATTTAAAATTGATGTTACAGATTATTTAGAACTGTATTAGTTCTAGGTAGCCACTGGCTACCACATGTGGCTATTTAAATTTAGATTAATTTAGATCATTAGATCATTATTTTAAAAAATCACTTCTTCAGTGGAGCTAGGCTCATGCCAGTGCTTAATAGCCACCTGTAACTAGTGGCTGCCACATTGGCCAGTACAGATACAGAACATTTCCATCCTAGCAAAAGTTCATTTGGATAGGTAGAAAGTAGTACAAGAGAGAACACTTCTGATTTATGGGTCATGGCTAATCTGGTGTTCAGAGGAAAATTGAGAACCTTTATTAGCTTGTATTACTTAAAAAAAAAGACTCAAAATGAATACTCAATTTAAGAAATTAGAAAAAGAAGAAAATAAATCAAAAGGAAGTAAGAGAAGAGAATTCTAAAAATAAATGCTGAAAATAATGGGATAGAAATAAAACGTAGAAATACTGAAAGTGATTAGGAAAAACTAGAGATTCTGAACAGGCTATAATTATTGAAAAGGAAATAAAAAATATATTTATTAGTCATCACATCGAGATGGTATTCCAGTTGAATTATATTTATCCTTTAAGAAAAAGGTTACACTTTTGTTATTTAATCTAATAAATGATGGAAAGTTTTTAAATTTACTTTTCAGAAGCTAGTATAATCTTGATACCAGTACGTGGTAAAGATAACTTAAAAAAATCAGCTTAAGAATTTGGATGTAAAAATTCTAAATATTAGCTAATTACATACAATTAAAGAATAGCATTTTCTTGGAATGCAATGATAATTCACGATAGGAAACCTATCAACATAATTTATTGAATCAGCAGTTTAAGGGAGAAAAGCCATGTGAGTCTATTAGTAGATGCTGAAAGGAATTTGATAAGATAATTAAAATTCTGAATATAAGAAGAATTATGGTGAAACCACTCAAGTTACGGAAATAATAATAGCACTTACCACCTAGGGTGGTGATAAGGATTTAATGACTTCATACATGTAAAAACACTTAGAATAGTGTCTGGCGCATAGAAATGATTCACCATTAGCTATTTTTATTACTTAAACATGGTAAAGTTGATTTGCAAAAACAAAATGGCAAATATTGCATTGAATGGCAGAACATTTGGTTAAAATTATAAACAAGACAGAGGTGTTTGTTCTCACCACTATATTCAGCATCATCTTTTGAGACTGTTTTCATTTCTCTAAATGCAATAAAAATAGTAAATGAAATAACTGATATAAATACTAGAAGAAGAGATAAAATATTTTAATTACAAATATGTAATTATATACTTAGAAAATCCAGGAGACTACTAAAATGATGTTAAAATTAGTGAATGTATTGGATATCTTGAATATAATATAAATACAAAGAAAAGAGTAGTTCTTCATTGTTGGAATAACCAGTTAGAAATAAAAAGAAAAAAACATTATGAAAATACTCACTGATAAATTTAACAGAATTGTTCTTTACCAAGAAAATGATTATATCCTTAAATTAGAATTTAAGGAAAATCAAACCAGTCAACCTTTCTAAAATTAACATATGAATTTAATTCAATTCCAGCTAGAAACCTAGTGCATCATTTTAGAAATTAAGATGATTTTAAAGTTCATGTGGAAAATAACATTTCTAAGAGTATACCTAAGAAAATATATATTTAATCCTATTTTTGTTAACAGTCCCTCCCCCTCCTCTCCACGACACACACATGTTTGTATGGAGAATAGTGGGGAAGAAAACAAATGTGCCATTTTGGTTGCATTTTTTTCCATTGACCTCAGTGTAGATGGGAATTCATGAAGAGTTAGAGGGGTGATCATACATTATATCTTTATATATTTTTTGATTATTTCACTTGTTACAAAGAGTATGTTATATTTAATGTGGAAAATTTTATAGAGAAGAGTTTAATGACTTTTGACTCTAAAGTTGTAATCCTTTTTTAGTTCAACTAAAAAATAAAAGCATATTATTGGTTGACTTAAGAGTTTTAAAAAAATTTGTCAGTTTTTGTTATACTAAAAACTGGAATATAATTTATTTCAGCGTTCCTAAACATTTGGTGCTTTCTACAAAGGCAAGATGAATTTTTAACTCAAAAATTCTGAAAAGAATTTTCCCTTTCTCTCTGTTTTATTTTTCCTCTCTTTTCCTGTCTCTTAAAGGTATGCAGCCACTCATGTATTCGGTTCAGGAAGCATTAAATGCCAGACCATGGTGGATTCGTATGGGGACTGACATTTGTTACTATAAGTAAGTATTCTAGGAATAACAGGACATCAGCTTACAGAAGGGAATATTAACTTCATTCTGTTTCAATGTAAAGGTAAAAAGCAACATTATAATTGCATACTTTGAATTGTATTATATTACTGTGCTTTAGTAATTCTATGGAGTCCTTTAGAATTTGAGATTTATGGGGTATATATAGTAAAAACAAAATGTGTTTTGTGGACAAACTTAACTTTTCATGTCAACTAAGTCCTCTGATGCTTGTTTGTCTTAGCTATAGGATGGAATAAAACTACCTTCCATCAATATATAAGATAATGTGTGTTTTTCTGGTTTATAACCTGTAAACTGCTATATAGCTATAATATGGTAGTATAAATACTTTTCCAATTAAATATTAAACTTTTGGGGGTTTTCCCCAGAAATTGGCAAGTTGGCAAGGACTTTTAATCTTGAACTTGTTTTGCATTTTTCTTAATCCTTAGCGCCTTGTCATCGGGTATCTATTCAGGATACAGTGACTAAGTTAATGAAGACTATACCAATTTGAAAATATCTTGAATATTTATTGTGTGAATAAATAACCTATAGGCCCTGGTTTTTCTTCAGTTCATGGCTTAAATAATACAAGATGATTTGGAATTTTAGAAATTAAATTGTTAGATAAAGCTTCTTTAAATCAGCATATGTCAGCAGTATTTAAAGCCTAGAAAGTAATGTGTACCTTTAAAATTTTTTTATTATGGAAGTCTTCAAACATTTACAAAAGCAGGGAATAGGATAATGAGACCCCATGTATTCATCACCCAGTTTCAACAATTATCAACATGTGATAAGTTTTAACTATGCTTTCACTCCTACTTCCACACTGAATTTTTAAAGCAATTTCTAGATGCTATATTTTATCCATAAATATTTAAATATGTATTTCTAAAACACAAGGCCTTTTAAGACAGTCTAATCATAATGCTGTTATCACACCTTAGAAAAATCAAGAAAATTTCTCAATACGATGAAATATACAATGTTCAAACTTCTCCAGTTGCCTTATAAATGTTGTTTTATAGTTGGTTTGTTTTAATCAGAATCCAATGTAGGATCACACATTGTGTTTGATTTTTGTTGATAATGTCCCTTAAGTCTCTTAATTTATAGGCTTCCCTTTTCTCTCTTTCTTCTTTTCCCCTTCTCATTCATTTGTTAAAGAAACTGGGTTGTCATACAGGATTTTTCACATTTGAATTTTGCTTATTGCATCCCTGTATGTTAATAAATACTTCTATCTCACCACTTTTCTAGAAACTTGGTTAACTTCAGGTTTGATTTTTGGCAAGAATACTTCATAGGTGGTGCAGCGAATTCCCATTGTATCACATCAGGAAACATAATCTCTGATTGTTTCTCTTTTTGCAATCTTAAGATTGATTAGCGAATTCAGGTATTACAGGCTGATCCATCCATCATAAAGGTGTTCATCAGCCGCCCTTATAATGGTTGTAGCAGCCATTGATGATCATTGCCTAGATCCAATAGTGTGTGTGGCTGTTAAAGCATAGGATTCTAAAAATTTTGTTGATGTGTAGAGTATTAGCTGCATTTAACTAATAAATCCAGAAGTGAAAATTAATGTTTTTGGTTGATAATAATTAACTTCTTTATTAGTACTAAGTCTATTTTTTTATGGGCTATTTAAGTTAAACTTTTTACAGAGTGAGCTTTTGCTTTTTCCCCCTGAAGTTCTATTTAATAAAAAGTAGCAAGGAAAATCAGAATATTTGTATGGGTGAAATGAACATGTTTTATGCTTTTCTATTGCAGAAATCACTTCTCAAGAAGTTCAGCGGCTGCAGGTGGGCAAAAGGGAAAGTCATATTATACAATTACATTCACTGTCAATTTTCCACATAAAGATGATGTTTGCTACTTTGCTTATCACTATCCATATACATATTCAACTTTACAGGTGAGAACTCTAAATTGTATTATGACTGTTGTGTTATATGCGTATGTGTCAGATAACTGAAGAAAAGTTGCTTTTAATTAACTGTCTTAATAAAGTAAGAAAAAGGTTCAATGTTGACAGTTTAAAAAAATACTACAGTATTTGTTGAAAACATAAAATGAGAATGTGGTTCTTATTTTTTAATAGAAATATTAAGGAAATTTGACATAATTTTTACTTCCCATCTTTTGTTGAACTCTATAGATCTCTAAGCTAAGATTCCATGATTTACAAGTTTTAACTAGGTGACATTTCTGCATGTTTAACCAGAAGCTTTAAGTCTCATAGAAAATGTAACAGAAGAAAAATGTACATGCAATTTGAATTTTTTTGTAGGAAAAATTAAAAAACTTTTCTGTAGGAAATGATTTTATTATGGAATCTTAGATCTAGATTTTTTAGACTCTACCCATATATGAGTTGTTTTGTGGGACCTTCTGAGATGTTGGAATGTTTGCATTATAAAGCAAAACTAAACTAAATGAAGATATTAAATGATCAACTGTGATAGATTTATTCTCAGAACAGAATATCTATTCTAATGGTCATGGATCATGAAGGTGCGATCAATTTACTAAGAAAGAAATTAGAGCACTATGATTAGAAACAAGCTTCCAAAATCAGAGAGAGGGAAGTGAAAGAAAAACATAGTCTGTAGAGCAGAAAAGATACCAAGGCTGAGAACACTGAATGAGGCTTACTGTATTTTAATAGAGGTTACAACCTACAATAAAGGTATAATGTTCAGGTATCTTTCTGTGCTGAATAACATGGCATCAGTGTATATACTTAATGACTTAGTAGTTCTATTTTTGGGTAATTTATCCTGGGAAAATAATTACAAATGTATATAGAAATATATTTTCAACATTTTTATTTGCCTGGTTATATGTTATTGTTCTTTACTGATCTTGCCTTTTTAATATGGCAATTTTGAATTCTCTTGCTCTCTTTCAGTCCCACTACCACAACCCTTTCCAGGCATGACCATTGTTTCTTACCTGGACTTCTGTCCCCTTCTTTCTAACTGGTGTCCTAGGATTCACTTTCACCCCCTGTCCTCTTTGTTAGTCTTTTTTCCACACTCCAGCCAGAGGGCTCTTTCATGGCTAATCTCATATGAACACCCTGCTTAAAACTCTATAGTGACTTCTCTTGCCCTTTTTGTGAAGTCTAGAATGCTTACCATGGTTTATTCTGTTCCTTCTCTACTATTTTTCACATTTTTTTTTGCCATGTCCACATACTGTTTGAACTATTATTTATTTAATATTTATCTTTAAATAGACTTTAAAATAGATCATTCCTTAAAATTTATCCTCATCCTAAGTTAATATTCATAAAATTACAGGCTTAATGTGCTAGATTTTTTTTTTGTAATTCACAGTAAAACATATACTGTTCAACTTTTTTTAAAGGTTGTCCACGTATCACTTAGTTATTTCAATTACCAGTAGTATGCACACTGTGCTTTGGGAATGGCTGATCTATCAGGCCCTTCATTCTGTACCCAGCTTCTCTGTTTCTCATACTTGTTCTTTCTGGTTTAACTATAATGAGTCTTTTTTAGTTCTTTGAAATGCCCTTATTTTATCTTGTGGTCTTACACACTTTTCCTACTACCTGTAGTACTGGTCTCTGTTCTCTTCATTCATTCCTTTGGCTCTCAGTTTAAATGTAATTTTCTTCAGAAGACCTTTCCTCACCACCCACTCGGCCAGACTCCCTCCCCCTTAATACAAAATCTCCCATAGCACTGTTTTCCCCCAGAGTAGGGTCCATTTATTCATTGTTACATCTCAGTGCTTTGCACAGTTTCTGGCAAATAGTGACCATTCAGTCAGTAGTGATTATGCAAATGAAGAATAGGCAAAAGTTTGAAAACCAAGTAAGTATCTAAAAATAAGGGATCGGACAATTTATTGTTTGTATCGCCATATAGTAAAACCATTAAAACTTGTGTTTTCAAAAAACATATATTTAACATGTTTAATGATGTGGTATAGTATTCATCATTATGAGTATATGTATGTGTATATGCATAAATTAATTGATGAAATCAGGTTATAAAATGTCTTTTATGTAATCATGGTTTTCTTTACATTGCATTTTTTAGTAGTAATCTAGGTGATGCAACTGTGGGTGTTTTACATTTTTACTTTGTACTCTCTGTGTCTTCCAGACATTTTACAGTAAGCCTGTATTAATCTTGAAATCAGGACAAGAAGTCGTTGAAAAATTTGAGCTACATAATTTTCATTCTTCAAATTTTAGATTGACATTGCAAGTCTATAGTCAGTTACAATTCCAAAATTCAAAAGGCTTTGAAAACCAAAAGCTTTTTCGTAACTCATTTGGCAGCAAAGCTTGACCTGAACTGTTGTGAGCTTATTTAGAATATTGATTCCACTTAGGGTGATTCTTCATATGTTTTGCTGCAGAAATAATAATGTGCTTATTACAGGCTGTTGCCCCTGACCCTAGTGGTGGTGTTGCATAATTAATATATACCCACTGTTTTAGCTTTCTCAAGTTTCCCAAATACTGAGGTTTAAATTCCATCTGGCCCTGAGGGTCTCAGATAAGGGAGTAAGAATCTGATTCATTTCTAGTTATGTGGAGATCTGGATGCATTATTTCTATTTATCATAGGGAGTTTTTAAGTGATTGTATACTTTGCTTTAAATTTTTATCAAGATGCATCTTCAAAAATTGGAGTCAGCACACAATCCTCAGCAAATCTATTTCCGAAAAGATGTGTTATGTGAAACCCTGTCTGGAAACAGCTGTCCCTTGGTGACTATAACAGCAATGCCAGAGTCTAATTATTATGAACATATCTGTCAATTCAGTAAGTCTATCTTCTTCATTCAAAATATCAGTCATTCTCACTGATTTTTCTTTGCTTAATATATATTTTATAATGGAAAAATACTAGGAATAGACTCATAACTTGTGTTCTAGTCTTGGTCCTGTTACTGCCTAAGCCGTGGGCCTACCTCTGGGCCTCAGTTTCCTTATCTTGAAAATGTGGGTGTTCATGAGATGTTCTCCAAGATCCCTTTTGATACTACCGTTCCTTAGTTCTTAGACATCATATTCAAAGTAAATACAACAAATTATTTTAAGAGTTCATGTAATAATACCATCAGTTTAAAAATTGACAACTAATTTTATTTATAAACAAAACAATCTGAAACCTATCAGTTCTGATAGCCAGCGCTGAATAGCTACTTATGTTTCCCGGCCATATATATTTTTTAAATTGCTTCAAATGTACAGCTTGTATAGTAAAAATTAGAAAACTGTTCTAATTTTGATAAGAAGGTTAAGTATTTTCAGAAAAGAGAAAGCTTGTTATGTATGAAAATATAAGCGATGAGCTGAGTGATTATTTTGTAGATGAGCTAAGTGATTATTTTGTAGACTTGGATATCTAAATATATAGTGAAGAATATTTTTTGGCAAATCTCTGAGCAGATATATTTTTTCTCTATGCTTATCGTAGTGACTATAAGACAGGGATAAGATTGTATTTTCTTTCTTTTCCCCATGACTTTTTGAAGAATAATTTTATACTTCAAACTTCCCCCGCTACTTGTTCTTTATAAAATCAGGATTACATTAAAGAACTAGTTTTACATGTTAGATTTATCATTTGGAAATAAATGAGTAGCTCAAATACTATTTATTGTTTTATGTTCATATTATACACTCTTTCAGGACATGGTTTATATTGGTTTTGTATTTGTTTGCTTTATAGGGCCTAGTGTAGTGCTTGTGTATAGTAGATGCACAGTGAGTGCTACTATGAATTTATATCAGAATTCAAAATTGAGTAGAGACATTTCTAAAGCCCCAAAGTAAAATATCATACAAACTTTTAGTAGCTGTTCATTTTAATTTGAGATTTTATGTGTACTTTAGGAAATCGCCCTTACGTTTTCTTATCTGCTCGGGTACATCCTGGAGAAACTAATGCAAGTTGGGTTATGAAAGGAACATTGGAGTATCTCATGAGTAATAACCCTACTGCTCAGAGCTTACGAGAATCCTATATTTTTAAAATTGTCCCTATGCTAAATCCAGATGGTGTCATCAATGGAAAGTAAGTTAAGCAATAGTTATAGAATATATTACAGATTATTGTGGTTGTCCTGTATAAACCTGTTGCAATAATAGTGTCCAGGTTAATTAGGAAAATAAACGTAGTGATTTCTCTAGAACAAAGAAATTTTTGGTAGGGAATTCATGTAAGATAAACGTTTAAATGAAAATATATTTTGTATGCTAGTAGTGGTATGAAATTTTAAGAAATTCTGTTATCCATGAGGATATGATTTCATAAAATGTCTGTGTCTTGCTTGAGTTGTTTTAGAAAAATCACAATGTCAGGATATGAGAAAGATTAACACATATCTCTCATATTCCTTTTTAAAAAAATTTTTAAATAGCATGAACCTAGATTATTCTAAGATTTAGAATCTTCTGGGATCTCTTTCCACTGTTACAGAATGTTAGCCCCGTCTACTAACTTCCTCCTGTTACGAAGAAGAAGTCTAGTTTCTGACAGAAGGAATTCTTTAGGTCGGAAATACTGGAAAAATAATTACTTTTTAAGTGGAGGTAGCATATAGTTAGTACAATAAATTTATTCTGGCAATTTGACAAGATCTCTGTGGTGCTTCTGAAAGATGGAATTTAGGCTAGCTGTCATGAATATCTCCAAAGATGAGAATATAATATTTATTCAACAAAAGTAGCATGAATATTTCTCATATTTTAGGAAGTTACTGAATTTTTAAAATATAGATTTCTTTTAGTTGATATGGTTATGGAACTAGAATGATGTCAGTTTTTAATTCAGAAACATATTGGCCAGGTAGAATTCTATTTCTGTTTCTATTTTTTATCACCTTGTGATTGTTTGCTTAAGTTTTTGATTCATGGGTTTAATACTTAGTACCTATAAGTAAATGAAAATGTATTTGAATTTTTACAAGAATGTGTACTTTTCATAATACTTGTCTTTCTCAGAAAGAGGGCCTAGATAGCACCTTTATAACGTTACTAATGAAATCAAGATAATAGAGAGTTAGTATAGCAAATGGTTATTATACAGTCAGAATGGAAAATGTGACCATTAATAAATTTTATAAAATATGGAACAAAACCCCAGAATTGAGAATTAACTTCTTTCTTGAGAATTAACTTGAAAATTTTGGTTGTAAATTGGAAAGCTTACCACAGTTAAATGCATGTGACACAAGATTTTGCACATAGCAAATGCTCAGTAAGTGTTTATTTAATGATGTGTATTCGATTGAGCCCACCCTCTATACCTGTTGGAAATACTTAGTGGAATAGAATCATAAAGTTAAATCAAAAATGTATATAAGGGTTTATTGGTACCAATGGTTTTCTGTCTTTGTGTTTATGTACGTGTAGTCACCGCTGTTCTTTAAGTGGAGAGGATTTGAACAGACAATGGCAAAGTCCAAATCCAGATTTACATCCCACAATTTACCATGCTAAGGGGCTACTACAGTACCTGGCTGCAGTGAAGCGTTTACCCTTGGTAAGTGGCAATATTTGTTTTTGCTTTTAAAGTCAAAGATAAAATGTCTTTTTTAAACTTAAGCCCATTATCCAAAGTGAGGCACCACAAGAGCAGAAGAATGGGATCCATTTGTACTTGCCATCAAATTGGTACTAACTGATCAACACTAGGGTGATCACATGGCAGAAATACTCTCTAGGGATTAGGGGGATGGGGGGGCAAATCTACAACTAAAGGACATGGGGAGCACTAAAGGGAGGGAAGGGCATGCCTTTAACCCGCATTTGGGTGAGGCAAAGACATAAAGTGTCACTATAATGTTTGTACCCTCACAATATCCTGGAATAATAAAAAAAAAAATCATCAGTCACTTGCATAATAATTATGGTGTCAAATTAATACAGTATATACCTATTTTATGAGGTTGAATGTTTATAATTGTCAGAAGGCTTTTATTTTTCTTTTTTGTTTATGAATATTAGTAACTCTTGGTTATAAGTTTTAGATATTTAACTTGACTGTTTTAGCAACACTAAGATATGATATGTATCTTCCAAATTCTCAAACTAGTAGAAGCTTATTTCTGAGTTCTTTAGTCAGCTCTGAAACTGTTAAGTCTGTATACACATGGAAATGTAGTATAGGCATGATATCAGACTATACTGAACTGCATGTGTAAGTTCCTTCTGTTTTCACTTTTGCTTAGAATGTTCCCATTATATTAGTGTTTAAACTATTTAATCTTTCATTGGGAAAGATAGAAAAACTTTGCAGAGGGGTAAAATTGACAGATTGGTTCTTTATTTTTCATTTTTAAAATCATGCTCTTAAAAATTAAATTGAAATCATATCCTTTTTTATAGTGTTTTTCATGAGAGCATTTTCTTCTTTTAAATTAAATAAATGTTTTTAACAATCCTTTGGGGCAGTGATGACTGCAGCTGTAAATTTGAACTATAATTGAATTTATTATTCTTAAAATGATGAGTGAATAGTAGATAAAATGATGATGTAGGATCTTTAAAGGATTTTGCAATTCTAGAATTAATCACAGATCCTTTCCAAAACTAGATATTATTACTTTTGTTGGTTCTACTTGTTAAATGGTGGTTCTCTTGCAGTAAAATGACAAAAGAACACAGACCTATTCATTGTCATAATATTAACTACCTTTACTTAGCAATGTATGAATTTGAAGGCTGTTAATTTCTAAAATATATTTTCTTTTCAAGGTTTATTGTGATTATCATGGCCATTCCCGAAAGAAAAATGTATTTATGTATGGCTGCAGCATCAAAGAGACAGTGTGGCATACCAATGATAATGCAACCTCATGTGATGTTGTGGAAGATATGGGATACAGGGTAATTATTACAGATGATTCATGAGTTTGTAAATTTCACACATGCGTAAAACTACAGAAAATAACATATACAAATTACTCAGATTCAATAAATGTTGACATTTTGCCATTTTTGTTTCCGATTTCTCATTTTAAAAGTTTTTGCTTTTCACATTTAGATTTTTCATCTATTTGGAATTTATTTTTGTATGAGATGTGGGGAATCTAATTTTATTTTCCCTGTGGATACCAGTTGGCTCAGCACCATTTACCAGATAGTACATCCTTCCTCTGTCGATTCGATGGAGCCATCTGTTACATACTGTCTCCACACGCATGAGTGTGTTGCGAGGCTCTGTATTATAGCAGTCATTCTTTCTATCTCTTTGCATGCTGCATCGTTCTAATTACTGTAGATTTATAATTAGTATTGCTATCCAATAAGGTAAATTTTCTTTTGTTATTTTTTAAAAAAATTCCCTTGGCTGTTTTTGGTCAGTATTCTTCCCTGTGAATTTTAGGATAAGTTTGTGGATTAACTTTGTTAGGATTTGTATCAGAGTGGCACTGAATCTAAATTAAGGTAGAGAGAATTATGATGATGATGATAATATATATTAATAGCATTGCTATCTATGAACATTGCCTATCTGTCTACTCAATCAAGGCCTTTTTTTTTTTTTTTTGTGAGACAAAGTTGTGCTCTGTCGCCCAGGCTGGAGTATAGTGGCATCATCATACAACCTCAAACTCCTGAGCTCAATCAATCCTCCTGCCTCAGCGTCCCAAGTAGCTGGGACGACAGGCATGCGCCACCATGCCCAGCTAATTATTTTACTGTTGCTCAGGCTGGTCTCAAACTCCTGGGCTCAAGTGATCCCCCCATCTCGCCTTCCCAAAGTGCTGGGATTATAGGCGTGAGCCACTGCACCAGACTCAATCAAGTCTTTTATGTTCTTCAATAAAGACATAAAATTTCTTCACATAGGTGTCATATTTTTGTTATATTTATTCCCAAATACTTTATGAATTTTGTTGCAATTGAGGATGGGATTTTTTCCCCACATATCTGCCTGCCCCAGTTTATCATTGATGGTGCGCAGGAAAGCTGTTGACTTTTTTTCAGCAGTAATTTCTATGAATTTTCGTATCCTCTACAAAGCATAACATATCAAAATGGCATCACATTTTTCAACAGCAACACTGGAAGCAAAAACGTAGTGGAGCAATGTCTTCATAATTCTCAATTAGATTTCAAAACTTTAAATTTTATACTCCATCCTAACTATCAGTATGCGTGAAAGTAAAAGAAAGGTGTTCTCAGACATTGAAAGTCTAAAAAATTTACCTCACGAATAGTCTTTTTCGGGAAGCTGCTGGAAGTTATTTTCACCAAAATAAAGGAGTATTCTGAAAGAGGAAGGCATAAGGAAATTAAGTCAAAGAGAGAGTCAAAGCCCAGGATGAAGGTAAAGGGAGAGCCCAAGAATGTATGTAAAATGCCCAGTATATCAATACTCACCAGATGTTACCACCACACTACCTTCGGAAAGTTGAGCCTTATTAGATTTGGCCACATTAAATGAAGGAAACAGTAGATTAGCAGAGCTCAGGGATATAGAAGAGAAATAGGAAATATTTAGTTTAGACTCAGATAAACAACATAAGGAAAGCTAGACTAGTGAGAGGCCCAGAGAATGGGAGAAAGCTCGACAAAAGAGCACACACAGAGCCTTTCCATGGGCTGTGCTCTGGTATACTACCACCACGTCGCCACTGTTCCCTTACCTAGTCATTTCTGCATTCTTTTTGGAGGTTTTAGGTGAGAATCATCCCCACCCCCCCAACCCCTGCCTTAAGGCTGCCTTTGTTCTTTGCTTGATGGTCCCTTTCAGCCAGGCATCAAACCATCCGACCTCTGCTTTTGTTGTCACATCACCTTCTCTCCTTCTCCTGCCTTCCATTTTCCCTTATGAGGGCCCTTGTGATGACAAGGGCCACTGAGATAATCTGGGATAATCTTCCCATCTCAAAATCCTACTGAATCACATGCAGAAAATCTCTTTTGCCACGTAAAGTAACATATTACCAGGTTCTGAGGATTAAGACGTGGACATTTTTGATGGGCCACTATTCTGACTACCATACCATGGAACCCCTTTTTGCAGATGGTTGGGAGCAGATGGGTTAGTACAGATAAATGCGCTGTTTCTGATGATAAATCATTGTACTCCTTTGTCCTTTTAGCACAAGTGTTTATGTTTTGGAGAAAAATAAAGTTATAGCATATAAATTGAGGGGCATTTGACAAAATAACTGATGAATACTGTTCAAAAGTGTCAAGATCATGAAAGGTATGGAATGGCTGAAGAACCGTTACAGACTGCAGGAGATAAGGAGAAGTAGTAACTAAATGCAATGTGAGATTCTTGGCAGGATCCTGACACAAAAGACATTAGAAAAACTGATGAAATTTGAATAAGGTCTGTAGTTTAGTTAATGGTATTGAATCAATGCTAATTTTTTGTTCTGATACTATGCTATGGTTATGTTAAGATGTTAACATTAGGGGTGGTTGAGTGAGAGATAAATGAAAATTCTTTGTACTATTTTTGTAACTTTAAGACTAAAAGGAGTCTCCCTTATCTGAAATGCTTGGGACCTGAAGTGTTTCATATTTTGGACTTTTTTTGATTTTGGAATATTTGTGTTATACTTAGTGGCTGAGCATTACTAATCTGAAAATCTGAAATCCAAAATGCTCTAAAAATTATTTCCTTTGAGCATCATGTCAGTGCTCAAAAAGTTTTAGGATTTATGAATTAGGGATATTCAACCTGTATGTGCTATGATGTTGACATTATTGAAAGAAAATTTGTGATTTAGCTTTAACAAAATGATTACATTTTTAAATACCTTATAATATTGCTAAATATTGTATTAATAGATAATACACCATCGTTCCTGATGATTAAGAATAATGTAGATTAGGACTTTTGTTTCTTTGGTTCATGGAGTATTCCCAGTACTTAGTAGGTATTAAGTAAATATTTGTTGAATGAATGGGTGAATTAATTATATATATAGACAAACATCTAACAATTATGTTACCTTATTTGGATTGTGCTTTTAGTTTTTAGTGTACTTGCATGTGAATTTTTTGTTTGAGTCTGTGTGATATAGGTAGGGTTTATCATTGCTACTGTACAAATGAGTCTGCTAAGACTTCTGGGTCTGTCGACATGCCTGAGGTCTTGCCCAAAAGCCTAGCGCTGTGATGAGCTGTATTGCTTCAAGTCCTGTGTCCTTTCCATTCTGTCACTCTCCTCCTACAGTTTTCCCTAAACAAGCACCCCAGGTTATTTTCCAAAAAGAACTTTCAGTAACATATACCACTGCCCTTAGCAGAGATTTAAAGTGCGTTTTCTTTTTGGTGTCCTCTCTCTTCTTCCCCCTTTCCAAATAAATAAAATGATTAGAACTATATAAAAAATGGGAACACCCCAGAAGTATATAAAGTAGTAAGTGAAAGTCATCTTCTCCCAATCATTCTCTTAACGCTAATCAGTTTTACCATGTGTGTTGTGAGACTTGCCTATGAGCACGTCCATCCATAAATGTATGTATGTATAGTATATGTAGTTTCTGTCTTTTTATTTTTTTAAAACCTACACAGCAACTTGCTTTTTCACATGATAATGTTTGCTGACCATCTTTTCAGGTCAATCATGTCTGAGTGTATCTCAGTCTTTTTAACAATTTCACAAGCTTTCCATTGTGCATTTTTGTTATTATTATATGAGTGTACCAAAATTTATTCAGTAGTCCTGTTGGTGGTCATTTGATTAGTAATGCCAAACTGTCCTTCATAAAGATTGTGCAGATTGATACTGTCAATTACTATGAATAATAGTGCTGTTTTTCCACACCCTTACTGCATTGTAGTATCATCTTTGCCAGGTGAAAATATAATAGTATCTGACTGTTTTAATTAGCATATAAATAATTATAAATGAGGTTGAGTTTTCATATGTTTGGCCAACTGTGATCCCTCTTTTTTAACACAGGCT